AATAGGGTAGGAAAATTAAAAAAAAAAAAAAGAAGCTAAAATAGGGTTCAAGTGAAATTAAACATTCAAAGGTTGGCTATTTGGTTCATAGTTAAATTTTAGAAGAAAAAAAATGCCTTGATCCTATCCATGCTTGATCATGCCATGCAACACTCAAAGAATCAAACAATATTACTCATAAAAATATAGTAATGAAACTCAAAGGGTGTTTACAAGATGCACTATACTCACCGGCTTAGACTTATTTACTAACCAATCACTTGACTTTCATGGCACCTTATCAATGAATTCCAAATGTGATCCTGCAATTATCATATGAGTGCAACCAATTTTCAATTCTTTTTTCAAATTCCCTATTCATATTCATCAAAATATTAATCCAATGAAACTTGATCCTAGTTAAGCATTGATAGTCAAAATTGATGCACAAAGTTCCAAAAAAACATTCCATTTCAAAAAGATTTCAACTTCTCTTAATCATCAAAAATGCATCACAAATGCCATAAATATGTAATGCACTACCCTCAAAATTTGAAACTACTTTAGAGCACCAAAACATATCATGATAAATTATCCTACTACAACCTAGTGTGCAACATACCAAAGTATCTAAGATAATAATCCAAAATAACAGAATATCAACATCAAAGTTGAATAGAGAAATTTAAACTAGAAGTGACCAAAAGTACTAAATTTAAAGTGTTGGAACTGAAATTAAAATTGCAAGAAAGTAGTAAATAAATATCAAAAGGTAAATTGGTGTCATCTTTCTCTTATCTTCTTCCTAAAGAGTGTGACGAGAATTAAAATGGTTCATTTTCTTTCAAGAAGTGACATCACTTGAAGAAAGTTCCTCATCTTCTAAGGAAAAATCAGATGTCTCTACTTCCATTAGAGATCTTGAAGAAGTTTGAGAAGTGTCAAGAAGGCAAAGGTTCAGGGAAGAACTTAAAGAAGAAGCCAAAGCCATTTGGATTCTCCAAGAGATTTCCATCAAACTCCCCCCTTACCTTTATCAATTGTGATTTCTCCACCTCCCAAGAAATTTTCTAATAGTATAATTAGAATAACATAATTTAATTACAATTTGAAATGGACATAAAAACCCAATTTCTAATAATGAATCACACTTTCTAATAATAAAAATATTAATATTGCATAACATAGAATATGTCAAATTATATATATCGCTTTATAATTTATATGAAAAAATTATAAAATAAGACATAATTATGCTAATATAACAAAATAAAAATTTATGCAACATAATAATTATTATATCTTTATGTATTTTTAAGCAATTTAATATATGATATTAATTAATTAAAAATATAATATTATTTTACGCTCACAATACATAATCATTATTTTTCAAATCAAAATCAGGAAAGTGCAATTTTTTTTAGTGACTCACCATTCTCTATAATCATTTCCTATCTTACATCTCTCTCAATATCTCTATCTCTTTCTTTTTGGGTTTTGGGTTATGGGCTTAAAAATATTAGGCAATTATGATTATTAGCCCAAACATCGGCAGAAAAAAAAAATCCAAAAAGTACTATCTTTTTCTTTTCATTTATTTACTATGTATTTAATTTTAATTCTCAATTATTTCATTTTTCCCTTTTTAGAAGAAAAAAAACATGGAAAAATGGATATCTAACAAAACCTGTATAATCAACTTCTGTGCACGTACGAAAGCATCACACAGTTACAAAATTTCAACAATCCATCCAAATATGGTGATCGCTAAAACAATAATTCCAATCAATAAGAAGGTTTAATACATGATGTCCGAATTTTTAGAATTATTAATTAAGTTTTTAAATTAAAAAGTATAAATATTAATCCCTTCATTTTTTTTTATAATTTTGTAATTTAATTCTTGAAATAAAAAATTTGTTTATAATCTATCAAATTTTTCAATAATATTTTTTTTATATCATTATTACCTAGATAATCGCACACTACAACAAAACTGATTTTTACTGCCGGTTTTATTAATCGTTAATGGCAGTTTTAACTGACATTAAAAACATCAATTTATAAAACTGACACCATATCTTTCGCCATAAGGCCATATGACGCCATTTTAGAGCAATTGCCGGAATAACCATCGAAAGTTAAGTTCTAAATGCTCACTATATTTCACTTTGCTGGCGGTTTCTAAACTGACATTATGTGTAAATTTGTTGACGATTTTGTAACCGCCACTATCTGTAATGTTGCTAATAGTTTTATAATTATACATTTGACTTTTCTGGCGGTTTGTTAACTAACACTATGTGCAAATTTTATGGCATTTTTATAATTACCACTATATGTATCAATGCTAAGTCTCACTTTTTTGGCAATGCCAACACTGACACTATGTATTCTCCCACCCCGTAACAAATGTTCATAAATATTGAAAACAAAGAGCAAGTAATTTGAGAAGGAATTACTAACCTATTTGTATAAAATCTTGAAGCTATCAACAGCGAAGCCAATCATGAACCAAGAGTGGTGAAGCCATCAGAACCAACAAAACATTGTCACTGAAACTAGTGAAAGGATTAGAGAACTTGTGTTTTTGGTCTAAAGCTAGGGTTTAGTGTGTTGTCTTGTATTTCTTTTTTTTTTTTTGGGGGAAACACATGGGTGGGAAAAGGGAAAATGAGGAGGCGTGAAACCTTGAGACAAGTAGCGTTAAAAAATTAATTATAATTAATTTAACATAATGGTGGTTACCAAACTGCCACAAGAATAAATTAAAATTTTATTTTAAATATGCTGGTGGTTACAAACCATCGAGAAATAAAATTTTAGGACAGTTTCATATAACCGTTGGCATGATACAATAATTATATATATGAATTTATTCAATTATTATTTTTTAATAATGGCAGTTATGAAACTGCTTCAAAATACTAATATTTAACGTCAATTACTTAACCGAAACTAAATAAACGACGCTAAAAGCTAATTTTAGTGTAGTTACATTACATTTTTATTTCATCTCACTATCCATATTTATCATGCTTTAAATCATATCTATAAAAAATTTCTTATTATTTTAGAATTATGATTAGGAAGATTATAAGAAAATTTTAATCAGTAGAAATACAAATTACATAGATAATAACATGAAATAATAATTTAATGTGAATGTTTAAGATATAAAAAGTATTTTATAAAATTTCACAAATTGTAAACAAATTTCTAACACGAGGAACTAAATTACAAAAAATACAAAAGGCAAAAAAAACTCGATTAAAATTTTTTTAACTTCAAAATTTAATTAAAACTTTTCAAAAAATTTAAAGATGAAATGATGTATTAAACCTAAACCAAAATAGTGATAAAATACATAACAATCTTTAATGTAGAAATATATCAATCGTGATAAAAGTAAGAACTTAATTTATAACTTACAATGAAACAATAATATGTTATTAATGCAAAGTCATATACCTCCTATATGATCATTGTTACCGATATCTATTTCACAAAGTTTCTCACAAGCAAAATATTGAGAACCTCGTTGTTACAATAAAAAAATTGTTTTAGAAAGAAAGAATTTCCTAAACCTTTTTTTCTAGAGGGTGTAATGAAACAATTAAAAATTACAAACCTTTTTATTAACAAGAGAAGAGATCCGTCATAAATGGCAAAAATGTAACTAAACCCTCATATATCTCTTCCATTAAGAATCAATAATGCAAAATTGTAACAGTTACTCCGGAATCAAAATTGACAATAATTGAACCACTTTTATTGTCACACATTTTGTATTCCAACATCATCAAGAAACTCATGCATGTTTGTAGCTTGGGAGGATCTCAATTCTCAACCCCAATTAATCCACCCAAGTTTTAGGGTATTATATAAACTAATTTCCAATTAACTAAATGAGAGTGTATTTTATTCTCTGAATTTCCTCATAGGAACTTTCTGCAAGCACATAACAAACTGATTTCAAGAACAAAGTTAACTGCATTTCGGGCTTGATTGGATAAAAGACTATACATGCAAGAGTCACCCGTGCCTAGCTACAAAAGATACTTCCACACTTCAATTATTTAGCCTTTGTTTAATCTTGTCAACAATGAATTGGAAGAACCGATTAGTGAGTCTCTTGGGCAAAAGATGTACTCTTAAGATACTTCCCCACGTAATATTAGTTAAGAATTTACAAATTAAATAGTTGTATTAATTGTAGAATATTTTCATACAATGAAATAATTTTTTAATTATTGTTTTTTTTTTTAACTATTATTCTTATAATAATAGTTTACAAAAGATAACACATAGATTAAACAATATAATTAATATTCTTGTTTATATTTAAATTGTTTTAGTCTTTTAAAATAAAAAAATATTTTCTCAAAGATAAATAAATAAAAAAGAAATGAATGTATCACATTACACTTTTTTTTCTGCATTTTCTATTTTTGTTTTAAAGTAAAATCATTACAAACAATATTATTATATACAATAACTTACAAAGAATGTTATTATATAATATATATAAATATAAATCTATTTGACACATATTCATGTGTCGTTTTAGTATTAATTTTACATAAAATTTAATCACATATATTGTACATTATTATAATTTATATTTATATAAATAAAATAAAATTTTAATAATAAATATTGTTTCATTACAAAATATTTTTTTTAAGTGAATTATTGTAATCATCCGAGATTTTCTTCTCCTTTGTTTCTTACATTTTTCTCATCGATCGTATTCCGTGCATTCTTCCCATAATTATCAAGACAACCGCTAAGTACGAACTCGGGGATTATTGGGCCACTCTATCATATAGTAGTATTCTTTTGATGCGAACTCGTAGCACCTATAGAAAGATAAATAATACGATTTTGCATGCCTTTATTTGTTTGTCATTTTCTGGTGGAACTTTACTTTCTTTGCTACATAAAATTCTTCAGCTTGCATGCATTAAGCCAATTATTATCCAAAACTAAGAATAAATTAAAGGCGTGCCAAAATATAAACCTCAACCACAGGCAGAGATACTAGAGACATATCCACTCCTTACGTCAAATTAAACTAAAGCCAACAGTAACAAAGGATAACACAAATTACAGAATCACATGGGTTCAATGCATTGGTCATAAAAAAACAAGAGCAAAATCTAAGTATTTAATCTTACATATATCATAAACAAATCTACGTTTCCAGATAATTAAACAGTGATACTCCCAGCAGCTCAACACTAGCTAGTACCTGCAACAACCCAGAAACTATTTCAATTCAATTACCCCATAGCTAATTTCATAATTGTTATAACCAATGGAATAGATGCATATGTAAATAATTTTAATTTACAACTATTCGTTTTCATTTCTCCTAAGCTCATACGTGCCCTCTCTTTTCACCCTAATAGATCTTAATCTCGTTCAGGTTGACGGGTATGCGAAGAATGTACATACATAATTTTTAGGGTATATATTAACAAGACTTTAATTTTCATTCATTATCAGTGTTAAATATTATGCATTAATAACTGATTATAAATCACCTTAACTATGATTTTTTTAAAATAACTATTATAAAAGCTAACCATACATAGAATTGGATAACAGAGTAAAAAATCCTTTAATTATTAATGTATATTTTTATTCAGTTTATATATGATTACTCCATGTAAAATGCTTCATAAGAAAATATAAAAAAGCAAAACATAGTGACATACTATTAGATTCTCCAAATTTAAATATTTTTTCACTTAAAAACCTCCCACCGCACAGGTAAAGCTAAATGATATTAGTTTGATAACGCATTAGCCAATCATAAAATTTAAATTATGGTGAAGAAATATATTGAGTTATATATATACTGAACAGTAGGTTTTCAAATATGTCGACTAACAAAGAAACTAATTAAAAGCTTTAGACATAAGTCTAGGCATATTTCTTGATATAATTTTTATCGATTAAATATTACCCATTAAATCAATAATTTACCCTTTTTCTTTATCAAAAGTAAGATATAGTGTGTATCTGCATATATGTCCCTATATCATCATTTTTCATCTTGTAAGTTTCGAATACTTAGTATAATATATAAACATGTAGACATAACCGGCTGTTCTTTAACAGTTCAACTCATTTAGTCATTAAATTAATAAATTTATTTTTATAAATGTTGTTATAAAAGAATTCAAATAGCATTTCAATTAAAGTGGGGATATAGTAATTATAAATATCAATTTCCCCCTCTTTTTTTAATAAAGAAAAAGACCAAATTCTTTTTCCTCCTTTTCAGATCGATGAATCATGAACATAGTTACTTTTACCCTCAATAATAGATATGATAAGAATAATGCCTATGCAAATCAAGATTGTCCTTGTGACAACTGACAAGCTGAAGACCATGTGTACGTCTTTTTGTTTACATTTTTATATTTCCATCAAATCCTACAGTAAATAGCTATACATATAGCCTCTATAACTAAGTAGCATAAACTGTATGATAATTTATATATATATATATATATATATATATATATAAAATAAGAAAATAACGGTAAAAATGACATAAAATAACTAAAAATATTGTCTAAGTTACAATATAATTTCTTTAAATCAAAATGCATATGATTTCATAAAGGAAATTAGCACTCATAACTGACCGTCAATTACTTTAAAATCAAAAGCTCCTTTTTTTTTTTTTTTTTTTCCTTATAGATTTTTTTAGAATCCTAGGTTGTTTTTAACATGGGATACCAATAAAAATTAGTTAACAAGAACATGCACACAATTATAATTTTCGAAATAATCTCGTAATAAACTAGTTATCATATGCATTAGTATTAAAAAATGTCAATAAACCTATAATATAAATAGATAAATTGCCTGGCTTTTGTCCTCACTTTTTTTTTCCCCATTAGAATGGCTGGCAAAAGGTCACAACAAGAGGAATGCAATACATGATTGCCACTTAGATTGATGAGAAGCTGTTAGTTTGACCTCCTTGGATTTTTCAGGGTTATTTTTTTTTAGGGACCCATAGATTATAAATAATTGGTCGATTACTATCAAATGGAAAATGACATTTGGAAAACAAGATTTTGGACCTTGTATTTTTTATTATAATAAATGGTATAATTCATTCTTAGCGAGTTAAACTCTATAAATATAAAATTTTAATTATGATCTCATATAAAAGTAAAAAATTGAACTCTAATATTAATTAAAAAATATAAATATCGAATCAGTTAACAATTTTTAATAGACTATGTATCTTTCTTGGTAACAAATGCATACTCTGATATATATATGGTGTAAGTATCCGTAAATATACCAAGTTGTCACTTGTTGATTTACCATGCTTATGTGGTGACCAAAAAATTATGTATCAATACAGTTTGTTACAGCTAATATTATTTTAGGACTTACAACTAGTCATCTAACAACCTCTAGAGTGTTATCTCTTCCTTCTTTCCTTACTAATCAGTGAATGTTTGAGTATATCATCGCTTACCTAAATTTATGTTACAAGGCTAATAAACTAAATATATGAAGGGACATTTGTTTCTGACCTAAAGATAAAAAAGTGCATCATAATTTATTTTCCTTCTAATAATTAATTAGGTCAAAATTGTAAAAATCCTAGATGGAAACTTTGAAGAATTAGACGTTCATTGTCTATCAATGTTCCAAGCTAAAAAAAGAAACATTGGGTAGCGCAAGGATTACTATGATGGATAATCAAATAAAAACACTGTATATCCATTCCACATCCTTATCAACATAACCAAATGCATGTATGTGTTTGTCTGGTGTTGAGAAAACAAGTAAGAAAAAACAAATTAAATATATTATCTTAGCATAAGAAAAAGAAGGCCCTAGTTTAAAAGATGAAAGGCATTACAGGAAAAATGAATTTAATTTGTAGCTGCCATACCTTAAATCTGAAGGAAATAACTTGAGTCATTGCCTTCATTCACGTGATTATCAATGTTTAATCCTGCTGGACTCACTTCCTCACCTTCC